AAATTTAAATTCGTTTCAGCGGGCATTACCTTCTTTAGCAGACCAATCGCTATGTCTGTATAGAGGGTCCTCTCATGCGCCTCGTCTAGCATCAACACACTTTGGGTGAGGGTACAATGAAGAACATTAGTTGCAAAAAAGTAAACATTAATTAATACTTTATAACAAAAACAACTTTACATGTAAGAGTTAGGATTTTTAGCAGATATCTCAGTGTGAAGATCACAGGCCAGCATCATGACAACTCTGTGTCCTGGTTTTGTACATGCGGCCTCCCTAGTAACATATTTGCCATGCAGAGAAAAGGGACTGCTTAATGGCTCTATTGCAATCATGTACCTGTACTTTTTCAGAAGTGGATCAGACATCATCTCTCGCACCAGCATGCCATCTGTTAGAAACTGAAGCACACAGGTGCAGTTAAGCACTGGAGGACATTTACAGAGAGATTCAATGAAATTTCTGCCCATGGGTTACAAAGATCCAGTGATCACAGCCACACTTTCCTGAAAACAAGGTTTCTTATCTTTAGATTATGAGATATTTTCCCCCAAATAATGACATATTAGCGTTAGGACTGCCCCCCAAATATCAGTATTGCTGAGGCTGATCCCCAATTAGCCTCTTAAAATATTGAGAAACATTCACATCCGATGATAAGTCCAAGTTGTTTTTCTCAAATACGACCTCTAAAACATTTTTTCCCCCCACACAAACAGAACTGGGCTTTCCTACAACCACACATGTAAAACGCTTATCGCTGAGGCCACAAACACAACTGACAAGCAAATACCTTGATCCTCGTAGCGTGGGGATCAGAACAGTCATCGAATCTAATAGTGTAGCCCACCTCATGGCCCAGCAGGGCCCCTCTCTCCTCTGCCACACGGTTAGCTACCTATCAGCAGGAAACAAAGAGGGGCGAAAATACAGAGTTTAAGGAATTTGTGTGACCTTCGGTGTGAGCTGAACTGCTGTGAAGGGAATGACATTGGCAAACAGCGAAGGAGCCGCGCAATAAGAGGAGATCAGTGGGGTTCTTACAGAGATAGCAGCCACACGTCGAGGCTGTGTCACTCCAATCACCTTCCCCTCCGCTGCCCAGCCAGCCTCCAGCAGGTACTGATGAAAATCACATGAAAAAAGAGAAGGTAGATCCAAAAAAGGAGGGAAGTACAAAGCATGAAAAGTGGACTGTGCATAAATTACATTCTAGCTGATGTGGTCCAATCACTTGCTTTCAAAAGAGGCTGGTAAGCACCAAAAAACAAGGTCATGTTAAACCGCTGTGGGAGTTAATCCACATGAAAAGGTGTGAGTCACTGCAGCATGACTTTGAAGGTACCCCCCCCCTCCTTTTTTTTTCCTGACTGCTATCATAAATGCAAGAAAACTGTTCTTTGTCATTCATCTTTTATGCCATAAATGTTGCATGGAGTAAATCACACTAACCTGAGGTATCTGTGTCGTCTTCCCACATCCAGTCTCACCAACTATGATTACAGTCTGGAAGCTCTCAACCAAGTACAAGATGTTGTTTCTGTGCTGGAGGGGCAGCAGTAACGAGAAGCACTTAATGAACAATTAAACAACAAGCACAGGGGATCACAAAATAACCCTGTAACATTAGAGCAGGTGCAAAAGCAGTTTAAAAACCTTAAAAACGGGGAGTTTCTGTCGCTGCTTCTCTATGGAGAGTGCGGTGTGGGGGTTGAAGATGATGGGGGAGCCGGTGGTCTCTGAGTTCAGCTCCCGCTCCTCTGAGATCCCCGGTGCCTCAGAGCCTGAAGCAGAGCAGATGGTGAAGGAGGAGAAGATAAGATATTTTATTTAAACGCAGGCAGGCTGAGGAAAAAGGGACTTAGGAGGATTTGATTTGGTGCAATGAACAGGTCGTGGCAGAGCGATAAAAGAAAGGTTTCGGCGCACACAAACTCCATCATGTGTGTTATTGTACCCTGCTCCACAGTGCGTGTGTCTGTTTTCCTCTGGCAGGTTATAGTTTGATTCCGCGCAGTTAAACCGAGCTGATCTGCGCCGGCTGCAGAAATCACGCAGCTGCCGTGAACGCCGCTGCAGCCGCACCGAGACTCGCTGGTCGACGTTAGCAGCTCACGCTAACAAATACAAACCCGAACAAACCACCAACCAGCTAATCTATCCTCTTTTATTCCTACTTACCCGGCTTCCAAAATTTCATCGTGGAGAGGGGAGCCGCCATCTTGGCTTCTACGTCACATATTCCCCCCTTTGCATAGCCGGGGGATGACGTCACAAGCTCTGTTTCCTTCGTTTTTATGAACGATGTCAGCTCGTTCAAAAACAGGTGCAAGGGGAAGTTTACGCTGACTTTTCAAGCTGTTAATTACATACGTCATAAATACTACATTTCAATATATACGCACACTGGACATTTTATTAGGTACATCTCGGTAGCACCAATTTGGAGCCCTTTTGGCTTCTGACCCGCCTTCATGGCACGGGTTCAACAAGATGAACCCCCTAAACGGGAAGGGTTGTTTAAAAACTTCATGCTTTTTATGCTGATGCCACCATTGTTAACTTGGAAATCTAGTGTCACTTTGTGTCATTGTGAAGTCATATAATATTGTATTGAGATATTAATGTTTTAAAAGCTCAAACAAAGAAAGTGCTCATGTAAAGTTCGGAGATGATCCAATAGAAACTAAAGTTTTTTCCTAGCCATATGATTGGAGCAGAACTGATGATGCAGACAGCATGTTAACACAGAATTCATGCAGCGTGTGATTTTGTGAAACTTTATGGCATCATTGTGACATCGTAGGGCGTTGTGATATAAAGCTCAGTTGTTCAGTTTACTTTTTGAAATTTTTTAGCTTTAGTTTTTATTAGTTTCAGTGTTAGTTCTAGTCTTTTTATTTATTAATGTATGTCCGGGGTGGGGAACTCAAGGCCTCAAGGGCATATTTGCACTGCACAAGACACTAAACAATGTGAATTGCACAACACTGGTCATTATATTCTTCATTTCCAGTTAATACTTGTACAGCTGCTGTTATTGTGTATATATATATATATTTATATTTCTTCATACATTCTTATATAGTTCTATACTGTGTATTGTGTATTTTGTTGTACAGTTATTTTTTTTAACTTTAATTTATATATTTTATCTTATTCCTTCCTAGTTAAATTTACCCTTTTTAATTTTCATATTTATTTCCTATCTTATTCATAGCCTTTTCTTTTTAGGTCACGAGCAGTTGTCTAAGCATTTCACTGCATATCGTACTGTGTATGACTGTATGTGACAAATAAAATTTAAATTTGAAATCAACACCGTGGCATGGCAACATTTGCACTGTCTGGGAATGATCAAGGAAAAGCTGCTGGTGACCTTTTACCACTCCACAATAGACCGTGTGTTAACATGGTGCCTCACAGTGTGAGATGCTGACTGCTCAGTAGCTCTACAGAAGGTCACCCCCAGACCGGCCCAAAAATAAATAAATTAATAAATCAAAAAAAAAAAAAAAGAAATCACTGGCGGCCCCTTTAACATTAAACACACGCTACCTTTACACAGAGCCCAAACATTGTAAAAGACTGCTCCCACCCTGCCTACCTGCTGTTCAACCTCCTGCAGACACCGCAGGTAAATAAAAATTTGTGGCCATTACCTCTCGCAACTTTACATACAAAACAGTCACAGTAAGCACTCACAAATATTCTTCCAATGACAGTTTCAGTTTTCATTCAATCACTTTTTAAATTTAGATTCAATAAACAAGAGACCACCTCTTTGAAAATGGAGGCCAAATAAAGCCCATGTTTAATGATTCCCAAAATTTTGATCAGAAAATACAAACCTTTCAAACACCAGCTGCATATCTAATATAACAGTACCATTGCATTAACTTTGCATGAACTGCTTTTTTTTTTTTTTTTTTTAAAGTTCTTCATGATAAAATACTGAAAAATGTTTAATCAAACAAGGCATAAATACAAATAAATCTGCATAATACAAGCTGGATTTAAGAAAGGGGACAATGCAGACATTTTACAGACAAGTTTAAATTAATTTCAACACAAGAACTAAGACTTTCTCATACGTAGCTTCCAGATCAAAGACATTAAATTTAAATAATTCTAACAGATCAGGTTTGACTTAAATCTGTTAATTGCATATGACCACAACATGCAAGTTTCCTCACTTTTTCCACTGAGGAACATGTATGGAGAGATAAATTTGATAGTTATCTGTTCCTGCAGCACATTGACACTAGTGACACTGAGATAGGATATTAGCCAATACACGCTCTTACAACCAGCATTTATTTCAATATTAAAAGTTAGACTCCAGCTACAATTTTCACATTCGTTAAATTTGACAGCAGATCTTTAGAAATACTAAGAAATTGAAGGTTTATATCCACTTGAGGGGGGTGTGGGGGGTGGAGTTCTATTTCACAAGAAAACATAACTCCAGCCTTCAAAATACAGACATACATATACTGTAGCTGGTAACCATAACAGTAAGCTGTAATATGCTGTACTTTAAGGCAGCTAAGATCTTAAAAAAAAAACAAAAAAAAGAAAGAGACAAATATACATAAGGTAGATTGGGGGATTAACAGTGAAGCCACAGATTGAATCTTTTACTAGTACTTCTGTTCATCCGGTATGGTGGATTTTTGTCCCTGAAATAAAAGGAGACATTTAACATTCAACCGTGGACTGATTGAACCCTCTCGACTAAATGATGACACGCTGTTTTTACTGTCCTGCACCTGTCACCTGACTGGCCAGCCCGTGAGCAATAACCCGCGAGAACAGTGGCCATGCTCGCTATTCGTTTCCGCTTCACCCCGAATTTGATGTTCATGTCGCTCATCAAGCTACTGTTTACAAAAATTGATACCGATTCAACCAAATGGTTTCCTGTGCCTTTAGTGTTTTAACAGACAAGTGTTGAAGGAAATGAATGAATCAAATATGCCTTCAATAGAAACTCAAAAAAAAAAAAGAAAGACAGTATTTGAACATTTTCATTGCGGTGTTCTTCCTGGATCTTCCAAAGACAATTCCCATGATGCACTGCACACTGAGAAGTCATACTTTATGTAGTAGCACTGATAATCCCATACCACTGAGTTCTTGTATCTTGACAATTTACTTTAGCAATGTTCAATGTTTTTAGTGTCTTACAGATTCCTCCTCAGTCAAAATGTAGAGCTGTGTAAAAGATTATCCACACCACCTGATCAAGAGAGAGAGAAAAAGATGTGATTACACTGACAATCAAAGCGTGGGCCTCAGAGCTGACAAATTTCAAACTGAGCTGAAGAAAACCATCAGATAGCCTTAAAAACACTGATGTAATACAGAACTTTTGGTACCTTCACACTGTATCATATTCATCTCTCACAAGAACATGTATTTATGTTGTAAGGTAGACCCTACAATAATACATACAGAGAAAAACCCAGCAATCACATGACCCCCTATGAGCAAGCACTTTGGCAACAAACCAAAATTTTCTGGTAATGGTTCTCAGCACATATTCTCTCTTCTTTTCCAAAACAAACTTCCTGCAGGGCTGTGAGGCTTAATACACAGAATTAAAACATAACCATCACAAATTTGGATTGAATTTTAACAGAAACTTGCTCTTTGTAAATACGTTTGGATTTACTGCATATCTGGGGGAATATCACAATGAAGTTGGATGAGAATCTTTGTTTCCATATTGAAACTATTATATTTGTGATGCAGTCACCTGATTTGGACCATTTGAAAGAATGTCATGTGCTTGGCATATGAGAAACTATAAATAGCACATCATTGCCCTGCCTGCAAAACTGTGGTTTCTACACACACGTATGAATCTGCTGTCAGATGTCGGACAGGCAAATATTTTAGAGAATTCAAACAACCATCAACATCAAGCTACACTCCTGAGTGTCTGTACTCAGAGCCACAGTGCCAGATATTTAATCTAAAAAGGACCTAGTTCAATGAGGTGGTATTTTTTCTTTGTTTGTTTGGGGTTTTTGCTCTTCAAAAACAGAAAAAACATCTACAAAACCACCTTAACTACATCTCACAATGCATTTAGAGAAGAAGAAAAAAAAAAAAACACAAAAAAACACAAGAAAACCCCATCCCTACTAAGGAGCACATATTTCCCTGGATTTTCTTCCTTGGCATTTGGAAGGTTTTTGTTTGTTTGTTTTTATTTGATTAACTAACATGTCAGAGAGTAGGGTGAAAATTAATATCAAATACTATAAGAAGAAAACAATTAAAAAGCTTTAGACAAAGAGCTGAAATGTGATGGATCACAAAAATCTGTAAATGAAATAAAAACTCAGGGGAGGGGGGGGGAAAAAGGGGGAGGAAAAAAAAAGAGAATATGGAGGTTTAAGGTGACGGTGTTTTTGGTAGTAGCAGTTTAACATCTGGTCCTCATCTAAAAATCAACCAACTGTAAACTTTTAAAGTTTCACTGCATTTCACTCAGAGGTTTCCTTTCTCCTGGGCAGTCTAGAATTGAAAAAGTACTTCTCTGTGTGTTCATCTGTGTTTGAGAAGCAATAAACTAAAAAGAATTTAACATAATTATGTGTAGTAGCAAAAATCCACCCTACAGGCCTGTGGAAAAAGCCTGTCGCCTTCCTCGTGTATAAAAAACACACATGTTCATTTATGATGTTTTAAATTAGAATAAATATAACAAAATATTATTTTTATTATATTTATCATATCACTGTATATAGCGAGATGACAAAGAACATCAAACTATTCACTAATGAATACATATTTATTGCTCGCCTTTGCAAGCTACATATTAATCATATAAGATAGTCATTAACTACAGGCACTGTTAGTGTAATTGCTTGATGAACACTTATTTACAATTATGCATTTCAACAAATTCCAGCGACACCAAAGTGCCACTGCACTAAAGATTTAATCTTTCATCCTATTTGTAACAGTTTTGCATTTTAGTGTTACGTTCATTGGGAATGGAAGAAACACAAAAAAAAATTTAAAAGATCAATAAAAACAGCACGAAAAGCCCAGACAGTGGATGCTTTTAACACTCCGTTTCACTTCAGCTCTTTGTATGTTTGAATTTCATAAATTTCTGTGGCTGGCTGACGGATCAACGGCAGCACATACTTTGTACACTGCCTCCACTGACACAGCTCTCTAGAGGTAAATGGGCCATCCTTGAACTGCTAACATATTACAAATGTGCTACCCTTGCTTAACCCAATGTGACATCTAACATGAATTTACATGCATGTACACCAGGAACCAAAATAGCCTATTTTGAAAGTCTAAGAAGTTTTGTTATACTTCAACAGTTTATACATTTTGAAAGACATTACTAAACCCACCAGAAACAGGGCAAAAGATGTCATGAAGCCTTCTTTGGTGAGTTCCCACGTGCCCCCATACTCTTCCTCATCGATCTGCTGAAAGCTGCTGAAGTATACATACAGGACGCCAGCATTGATAATGCAGAATCTAAAAAGCGCACACAAACACACAAAGATGTTAGCTTTTCAGTGTTTCCTTTGGTACAACAGGATATGTAAAGGGTCAGTGAAAGATGTCAGGTTTAGACAAGCTGTACACAATACTTACATGGCTATTCCCAGAAACCCTTTTAGTGGTGCTACACCCCACATCACACCAAGGACAATTGCAATAATTTGTCGGAGCCAATAAATCACATCTAAGAACTCGTCCTGTGGAATAAAACAAACATTTTATTTAACAGGTCCTAAAACAGCAAAACAGCCCAAGACCATCACACCACCACCACCATGTTTGACTGTTGGTATGATGTTTATAAGAAATGTCCTGTTAGTTTTATGCCAGTTGTAACAGATTTTGTGTCTAATCAGTTCAGAGAATATTTTCCCACAAGTCATGAAGATCATCAAGATGCTTTTTGGCAGATGTGAGACAAGCCTTTGTGTTCTTTTTAATCAGCAGCTCTCCAATAGATGCAATTTTTGACCAGTCTTTTGTTGCGGAATCATGAACATTGTCCTTAACTGAGGCAAGCGAGGCCAGAAGCTCTTTAGACGTTGTTCTGGGTTCTTTTGTGTCCACCTGGATGAGTTGACAAAGCACTCCTGGGAAGGCTCACCACTGGGCCACCACAGGTTCTCTCCATTTGTGGATAACGGCTCTCACTGTGGTCCACTGGCATCCCGAAGCCTTATAAATGGCTTTGTAAACCTTTCCAGACTGTCAAGATTCTTATTAGGTATGTAGCGGGGGGGATTATTTTTTCCACTTTAATAAATGAACTCATCTTTTAAAACCTGCATTTTGTATTTACTCGGGTTACCTTTGTCTATACAGCACTGTATGTTGACACACTCAGCTACATGTTCTGCATCCAGTACTGAGTATACCACTAAAATAAATACATTTTAGTGGTATAAATAAATTCTCTTATAGGGGCATGTCAGTGATATTATCGACCAACCAATATATCAGTCAGACTTTGAGAGGCTAACAATATTTATTAGGAAATGAAATTCGTTATGAATAACCACAAACAAGAGCAATATCTGAAAGTAGGGCTAAATCACCAAGACGATTAACTCTACTCCCTTTAGATCTGACAGCTAGCCCAGATTAATCCTTCGCAGCCATACCTCCATGACTGCCACATTACACGCTTTCACAACTTTGAGGCGACTAACAACAAGAGCACTAACATAACAAAAAAGGACAAACTGACTGACCTTCTCTTCCCAAACAGCGTTACTGTTGAAGGCTTTGCTCCATGTGGACTGCTTTACACCTCCATTCACTAGATGACTTTCTTCTTTCCGCTTTGAAATGCTCGTCATTCTTTGCGCTTTCTTTCAGCGACACACGTGGAAAAGTTACACTCCAAGCTCGGTGACACCTACAGGTAGATTTCACTGTTCTTCTCCGACCGGAGGCAGAAAGTGCTAGGAAGTATTTGAAGGTATTAAGAAAATCTACGCTTCGCTGAGCTGACAGGTTTCAGAAGCTAACCGTAAAAGGGAGTCTGAGCATGCGTAATATCGTTTGAACCCAGCCAGCGACGGCCAATCAGAGAGTGCGACGTTTCTGCGCCGCTATTCCTCGGAATCGCTATAAATTCCACAGCGACCTCTGATGGTGAAACTCAGAAACTGACACATATATTGGCATCTATTATATTTAGTCAGCTTCTCCATTTCTATTACAGTTAAATCTGCCATCTATATTGATAAGCTATCCAGAACTGTATATGTAATTATCTTATTATTACCTTTTGTTTATCCAAGTAAAAGTCTCACTGATTAGACGTTGAAGTATTAACTAACTTAAGCTATTATTCTGGGCTGATTCTTTCAACCATTTATTTATTATCTCCTTTGGTTTTTGAGATCTGGTTTTAGTGACTTGGTTTAGTCATTTTTATTTTCAAAGTAAATCAGAAATCTAAATGGTAAATGGCCTGTATTTGTATAGCACTTTACTTAGTCCCTAAGGACCCCAAAGCGCTTTACACTACATTCAGTCATTCAACCAATCACATACTGGTGATGGCAAGCTCCATTGTAGCCACAGCTGCCTTGGGGCGCACTGACAGAGGCGAGGCTGCTGGACACTGGCACCACCTGTAGGCAACAGGTGAAGTGTCAGAGCTGGGTGACCAGCAACCTTCCAATTACAAGATGAACTGCCAACTCTTGAGTCACGATCACCCCAGAGAGATTATAGTCCTCGTCTGACCTGGGAAAGCCTTGGAAGCCACCAGGAGGAATGGAAAATTGTAGCTGGAATACCCTGTGTAGGATACTTCAGATACGCAGAAGAAAATGGGTGGATGGATCTTTGAAACTGCAGAAGTACCCCCAGAGTACAAATACGCCTCCTTGAAAATCACTGTTGTAATGTTGACAAAAAGTCAAAAAATTCAGAGTATATAAATTACTGGCATGCAGCTATGAAGACCAAAAAGGTGTATTTTTATGTAAGCTGCATAAAAAAGGTTCCATGGTTATTTTCCTTAATCCTATGATTATTCAGAGATCTCCACATCAGAGACTTCCACAAATAGCACATGTTAGCTCATGGAGTGGCACCTAATGACTAATCAACTGATCTGTTGATCTCAATAAGCCAACCTTTCATTTGGTCTGTGAGACCGCTGCTTTTTCTTGTTTGCTGAAGAACTGTGGCAGCTCTGAAGTATATTGCAAAACTAGGGGATAGTAATAAGGACAGTGTTCTGCATGTCTTGTAGTGAGAAAACATCAAAAGCGCTTCAGTGGATGTGAGCATGTATAAAAACAGAGAAAGGTGTTTCCCTGCATGCTGTGTCAGGACTTCTCCAAGGTATCAAAATAATTACAAGAGGGGGTTTTTGGTCTTTTTTTTTTTCTCTCATGTGAAATCCTGGATTTTTTTTTTCTTCTCTAGCACCAGCTTGTTATATAAATAATACATCATAAAAAATGGTCGTTAGAAAAAAAGTTTGGGATCCATAGTTATATATAGCCTATGCAGAGATTTCCTAAAATAGCATTTACCGCAAGCAAGCTGCAAGATTTATATGTTTTGATTAAAAAATGAAATCACAGAAATAATGTGTGACTTAACGAGCTTGCAAAGAAAAGCGTCTGGACTTCTTTAGTTCCCCTGTGCATAAAGAAGTCCAGACGCTTTTCTTTGCAAGCTCCTTTGACTACGATGACCTGGATGACTGAGAACCTTCACAGACGTGTGACTTAACTGTAATAACTGATGTAATATGAGTTTTTTAGCTGACAAATTGATGAATGGATGCTTGCTTACTTCTCTCACTGGCTGCTCTGACAGTCATAGAGGTACTTCTCTATACTGTCCAGCAGAGGGCTTCATTTGTTTTGATTGAGCTTCACCCCATTGAGTTCAAGTCATATCTCATAGCAACCCCAACATATAGCATGATAACTACAGTAATCGTGATTGTTTAACCTAAACTGACTTATTCGATTAATCAATTAATCAGTGTAAAATAGTTTATTCCTCTTCTTGTTCTTTTGGCTGCTCCTTTTGCCTGCATTTCACCCTATCTCTACCGTCCTTAGGCAACACCCACACATCTTTGTGGTCTTACTCTTTTCTTCGAGCCTGGAACTCCACATCCTGCATCCTATATCCACTCTTTCTAATCAGGAAATGTCCAAGCCTTCTCCAACTTTGTCTCCGAACAGCTCAACCTGAGCTGTCCCTCTGACATATTCATCATGTCCAACCCCATTCCCTTCTCACCCCCCACCTCCATCTCTTCTTCCTGCCTTGTTGTCAGTGCCACTATCTTCAAACCTACACCAAAGCAGGTCTCACTAACATACTGAAAACCTTCTCTTTCTATCTTGCTGCAAACCTTCTGTCACAAATCACCCCTAGTCTTGTCTCCACCCACTCCATCCTGCCTGCACTCTCTTCTTCACCTCTCCTGTGCACTGTGTATTAGTTTGGGTGGTTGTATTTAAACTCCTTCACTTTCACTACCTCTGATCCTTGCATCATTACTGTTACACCCACCTTTATCTCATTAGCACAAGTATTCTATCTTGTTTGAATTTCATTCCTCTTTTTTCCAGAGCATACCTCCACCTCTCCAGGCTCTCCTCCACCTGCTCCTTACTCTCGCTACAGATCACAATGTTGTCTGTGAACATTATAGCAGTGTCTCACTGTCCCCATACGTGTGCTGCACCACCCTCACGTATTTCTCAGCCAGTTCTGACTCCCTCATTCAGTACCACAGCCCCTCTCTCAGCACCCTATCTTATGTTTTGTCTACATCCACAAAGGTGGTGCAGCTCCTTCTGACCTTCTCTGTACTTCCCCATCAGCACTCTCAAAGCAAGCATTGTACCTGTGGAGCTCTTTCTCAGAATGAAACCATACTGCTGCTCACTGATCACCTTCTTAACCTAGCTTCAGCAACTCTTTACCATTTCTTCATGTTGTGGCTCATCAGCTCTGTAGTTACTACAGCTCTGCACATCACCCTTATTCTTGAAAATCTGTCTCATCACACGTCTTCTCACGCACTCCGGCATCCTCTCACACTCCAAGATTGTGTTAAACAATGTGGTCAACAAGTGCACTGCCCTCACTCCTAAACATCTCCTCTATACGTATGTCAGCTGAACAACTAATGTAGTCACTGCAAATAAAGCAGTTTGGCAAAATAATTGATTAATGTGTCTGACTAGTGACTCCAATATATTATTAATGGGTCTCTAATGTTAGCTACAGTTTATTTGTTGCACTATTGAAAACCATTAAGAGAATTTCACTTTGACTCTTTTAAGTTGACCCACCGAGCAGTGACTCATTCAGAAAGATGTGGGGGATGTGACATCGTGTTTAATTTGAAGCTTACTGAACATACATATAACAAACAGGGCCCAATGGAAAATCAGTAACACTAGAATACTATATGATGTGTTTTATCTGCTTTATCAGCTACAAATGAGTTTACACGAATGTCTTTAAAGTGATGCTCCCATGCAGCTGCTTTTTGCCGACTGGCTTTGCACTGTGGTCCATTTTGTGAGCATTTCTGACTTTCCTGGGTTTTGGTTGTCTTTCTACTTTAGTCAGTTTAGGGATTTGTGATGCGAGTTCACCAACGTGCATGGAAAGCTCTCAGGTTTAACAAAATACCCGTTACAATGCAACAGGCAGCAAAACTAAATTCTTTTAAAGTTGCCTCAAGTGCTGGGCCAGCTGAGGATGTGGTTTATGTTGCAGTTGAATTGTAACACCAATGTAGAGGATATGCTGGTTTCTGTCCTTTTATATAACAAATGTTTTCAATCCCTTGCACCAACCTCCAAACCTATGGGAACAGAGCCTTCAGTATGCTTTGCAGCACCTCATCACTTCACCAAAGCCTTTAATTTCTAGCCTTTCTGTTTATTTATATACTTTTGTTTATTTTGACTCTTTTTTTGAAGCTATAAAGAGTTATTATTATTAAACTTTATTATTAAAGTCAAAGCTGATGGCAAAGTCAAAGTCATTATTATTATAGTCATTGTTGTGAACAAAGGAAGACTATACAGCAGCCTGACGAAAAGAAATTAGCTTTTACCTCACCTGTACTTAATAAACTGTCATTTGAGTGGTCACCCGGCAAATTTAAATATTTGTCCACTCAGCTTCAAAGCTCGCCACTCTCACAGCACAGATAACTGCCCGTTCAGTGAAATCCATAAATTGCAGGCTATGTAAACTGAGATTTGCGTAATTACAGCTAAAAGGTCACGTGGACTAAAACACGTCTAACTGTAGTGGGTGTTTAATATGTTTGAATGGAGCTTTAAGAGCAGATTCATATTTATTGTGAGTCTTTATTAACCTTTTGCCATGCACCCGTTTGGCTCTATCTCTTTAAGAGCGGCTAGCCCACCTGGGAGGGGAGAGGAGAGGAGAGGAGGGGGGACAGGTGTGATGTGTTGTAACCGTTACCGTGCACGGTTAACGGTGCTGTGACCCTTTCAAAACCTCAAACACGGACCCCCCACCTGTGTAGATAGGATGGGATGGGGTGGGGTGATGGTGTTGCTGGGTGAGGAGGGGGCGTAGGGGGTCAAAGTCAGTACGGGATACGTGAGTCACTTCATACTCTGTGCTCGGCGGAGCTCGAGCTCTCACGCCAATTCCACCGTCAGTGACGTCGGCGTCACGTGTCTGCCTCTTCCCTCGGTACGTCCGTCGTATTTTCCTCCCCTTTCACTGCCTGCTGTAACACAGAGCCACTCGAAATAAACAAGCGCAAAAAAATAAGAGAGGGGCCGTTGTTGTTGTGAGAGGGAGGGGGGGACCGGTCCGGCTCCAGTCACGTTTATTATTATCAGCGGCCGATTGTCAGAGGGGTCCTTACACCTATAAGTTACCATCAGAGAAGCCCAAAGCCGACCCCGTCCGTGTCTGGCTCCACTGAACCCGCACCAGTGTAAACTTTTTAATACCTGCGATGCATACGCTGAGCTCCGACAAAGCGAGGTGAGTGTGCTTCACTGATACGCATTTACTTAAGTGT